GTGCCAGGTGCAGGGTCTGCTGGCTGGGTGCTGGCAGGCTTGCACCTGGCACGGGCACCGTAGCCAGCCCGTGCCCCTTTAAGGGATCCGGGGCAGGGAGGGGGGCATAGAGTTTCCCTGATGTTGGCCAGAGTGGCCACCAGGGAAACCTGGGGAGGGCTAGCCTCCCACTAGTTCGAATTAAGGGTCTACACAGTCCTTAATTCAAACTAGCTAGTTCGAACTAGGCTTAATCCTCGTAAAATGAGGTTTACCTAGTTCGAACTAAGCACTCCGCTAGTTCAAAATAAGTTCGAACTAGCGGAGCGCTAGTGTAGCGCCTATCAAAGTTAATTCGAACTAATCTCTGTTAGTTCGAACTAACTCTGTAGTGTAGACATACCCTGAGAGAGATTAACTGAGTGTGTCATGTAGTTATTCTTTTGAGGAGAAATGTAGAGTCTACTAGAAGCTATGAATCCTGTTGTTAATAGAAGAGGGTATGCCGAATTAGGAGGGTAGTGTAGACATACCCAATATGAGCAGTGTGTGGTGGCTAAGTCTCACAGCTTTCAACAGCTGCCTCTCACTTTTCTCCAGGTCACTCCATGATGTGTTATAGAGATGAAGAAGTCCCACCCAAAGTCTTTGATGCACCTTCTGTGTCCTGTCCTGGCAGCAGTCAGTTGGCTAGCAGCCATCAGTTCTTTTTTGCACTGCCTGCTGTTTACAGAAGCACCTGTCCAACTATGATACCAAGATACTTGCAATCCACATATCAAGTATTCTGCCTGAATCCTTCCCTGAATAAATCTCACTTGTCATGTATTTGTGATTCAACTGGAATTTGAAATTGTTAGAACACTATCATTTATGTAGCTAGCCTTTCTGTAAAACATTTGCAGTGTACTGTAAATGAAGATGAAAATGCATCATGTTGAAATCAGGAATCATGTGTTTAATTGCAAATGACCTCAGTTTACTGTAGCTGATAGTAATCCTTTGATGTCCTCATCAAAGAAACAGCACGGCTGCATGCCAGCTGTCTACATCGGCTGCTTGAATTTGCGCAAGAACACTGACGATCTAATGTAAGATTGTCAGTGTTCTTGTGCAAATACTATGCTGCTCCCATTTGGGAAAAAGCCCTCTTGCACAAATGTATTTGCGCAAGAGGGCCAGTGTAGACAGCTAAAAACTGTTTTGCACAAAAAAGCCCCGATGGCGAAAATGGCGATCAGGGCTTTCTTGTGCAAAACCGCATCTAGATTGGCACGGACACTTTTCCGCAAAAAGTGCTTTTGAGCAAAAGAGTCTGTGCCAATCTAGACGCTCTTTTCCACAAATGCTTTTAAACGGAAAAACTTTTCCGTTAAAAGCATTTGCGGAAAATCATGCCAGTCTAGACGCAGCCCACATGACTCTTTGTGAGCATGGGTACTTAAGAGGAAATTTGTTCAGGCTTTCAGGATCTGTATTGTAATTGCTCTGATCCAATAAGGGTGTGTCTAGACTACAGGGTTTTTCTTTCAAAAAAACTTTCCCTGCATCTAGACTGCTGTCATGTTCTTTCAAAAGTAAATTGAAAGAACGCAGCAGTTTTTTCGACCACAAAAAACCTCGTTTTACGAGGACGAATGCCTTTTTTCGAAAGTGCTTTTTCGAAAAAAGGCGCTATGTAATGCAAACCGTGCTTTTTCTAAAGAGAGCATCCAGACTGCCTGGGTGCTTTCTTTTGAAAAAGAGGCTTGCTTTTTTGAAAGTATTAGTTGTAGTCTAGATGCTCTTTTTCGAAAGAGGCTTGCAGTCTAGACATAGCCTTAGTGAGTCCTCTATAGTGGCATCACCAGAGAGAAGGAGCCTGGTGTGACTGCTGATGACTTCTCGGATCACACTATTCAATGAAAGATTAATGAGAAGATGATGTTTTATAGCCAACATCTTATACTGCGATCGGGTCACAAGTTTGATTTGAATCAATTAGTATAACTCATTCTCCTGAAAGTAGCTAATGATAGCATGTTTATGAGAAGTAAAATGGTCTGCAATCCAGGACAAGCTTTTGAGCTGTTATGTGTCAGCTTTAAAGCAACAATACCTACTTTAAAACATTACTCAAACCTTGGAATATAACATCAGTTTAAATTCAAGAGGATGATGTTAAAGGGTTTGGGGTTTTTAATTGAAAACTCAAAATATTAACCCCCTGAAAGCCAGGAAAAGAAGATGAAAAAACTGTCTTGAATCAGTAGTGTCCAAAAGAGAGCAAATTAAGGTAGCCTTTGTGTTAGATTTGATCTCCTGTGCATGCAAGGCCTGATTAACATTTTGTGGGCATAGTGGCAAATATATTTGTGAGTCCATGGGGGCAATAGGACATGGTGCTGTGGGGAGGAGTCGGTCCTGGAGGAGAAGCTAGCCTGGGAAAATGGGGTATGGTGTTATGGAGGCTGCCATGCTCCATCCAGGCCAGTGTAAGGGCACAGTTTACAAAGGGCATATCTACACAGGAGGGCTAAGCTGAAATAAGCTACGCAATTTGAGTGACATTAGTTGTGCAGCTTAAGTCAGAATAGCTTATTTTGGCTTTTGGCGCTGTCTACACAGCATGAAGTCCAAGAAAGAGCACTCTTCCTCCAACTGCCCTTACTCATAAAATGAGGGTTACAGGAGTGGAATAAGAAGTCCTCCAGCTCGACATTATTTTGACATAATGTTAAAATAATGGTTTGCTGTATGGACACGGACTGTGTTATTTCAGAATTCTGAAATAACACTGCTGTGTAGATGTACCCAAACTGGCAACTTCGAGACACACAGTGGCCCACCCATTCCTGCACTGCCAGTATGCCCCTTCCCCACAGCAGTGGGCTTTTGTTGTATGCTATGACACCTCTGTGCCCAGAATCCCCCCCAGCTCTCTAATGACAGTAATCCCTACACAACACCCCACACAGACCCCTGTACCTGGCGCCCTCCCACTGAGGCCCTCAACACACCCCACCACAGTTTCACACCACCTCCACTCCACCATGCCCAAACAATACCCCCAAACTACAGTCCCTCACTGTCCAGTGTCCCGCAGGCTCCCTCTGCTCAGCACACAAATTTCTCCCATGCCTGACCAGTGACCTCCCCTACAAACTCAAGCCCCTTATTTCTGTCTTCTGACCGCACTCACTGGTCTCTCTGTCTGCCAGGTTTGGTCCCTGGGTGGGGATCCCTTGGGAGCAACATGATCAGCCAAGTCAGAGCAGGAGCATGGCCTGCCTGGGCCAGGCTCCTTCAGTACCCACTTGACTGGCATGGTTTGACAGAGCACCATGTGCTGCTCCTCCACACCCCACTGGCAAAGACTGGCTTGGTTTCCACACCATTCCAGGTGGCTTGGCCCCAGAGAGGTGGGTGGGGCCTCCCTGCTGGCAAGCTACAGAGACTGCTCAGAGATGGAGTGGTGCAGACCTGTGGGACATGACTCCGAAGAGCCTGGCTGGCCTGGCCACACCCACTGTCTCTGTAGCAAGCAACCATGCCCAGCCCACATGGCAGATCGGGCTGCTGGGTGGGCAAGCCCTTTATAAATGAGTGGGACATGCTGGCTGGGAGCAGCTCACACAGGAAGGCTGTGGCACTGGACTGCCCCAGGTGAGAGGCCAGACCCAGTTTTATGCATGGGTTAGAGCATGGGTGCCAACCCATTAAACAAAGAAAGCTGAAACAGCGGCGGAAAAAATGCAAAGAGCCGCACCAGAATTGTTGAGCAAAAAAAAAAAAAAGGATGCTGCCCCTTTAAAAACCACAGGTTAGGCTTTTTGGCCACATCAGGCTTCCACCGGCCAACACCATCTTGCTGACACCATTTTGCCACGCCAGATGGCTCACGAGCCACAGGTTGGCTACCCCTGGGTTAGAGGCATCCATAATGGGCCCCTTCCCACTGTGGTCCTGGCACCATGGCACCATCCCATTGTAAACCTGGCATTGTGTGCACGAAGATAAGAGTTCTTAACTATAGAGAGCATATACAGTCTGGTTGTAGTGCATGTGCTCTAATACTTGATAGTGACTTAGCCTGTAGAGGATAAGGAGCCAAATCCTCATCTGTGTCAATGTCACAGTTATTACAGCTGAGAAAAGCAGGGAGGAAAGTTGTCTTTAACCCAATTTTCTGCTGTTCTGATTCTGGGACAAGTGGAGCCAAAATGGTCCTGACCTAACTCAGAACAGCCTACAAATTGCATTAAATTATGCTCTCTGTAGTGTAGTGTAGCAAGGCACATGATTTTAGCAAAGCTTTTGATACCATCTCCCACAATATTCTTGCCAGCAAATTAAGGAAGTGTTGATTGGATAAATGGACTGTAAGGTGGAAAGAAAGCTGGCTAGACTGTCGGGCTCAATGGGTAGTAATCAATGGCTCGATGTCTGGTTGGTGGTCGGTGTCAAGGAGAGTGCCTCGGGTTGGTTCTGGGACCAGTTTTGTTCAGGATGTTTGTTAATGATCTGGTTGAGGGGATGGATTGCATCCTCAGCATGTTTGCAGATGACACTAAGCTAGGGGGAAAGATAGATACGCTGGAGGGCAGGGATAGGGTCCAGAGTGACCTAAACAAATTGCAGGTTCGGGCCAAAAGAAATCTGTTGAGGTTCAACCAGGACAAGTACAGAGTCCTGCTCTTGGGACGGAAGAATCCCAAGCACTGCTATAGGCTAGAGACTGACTAGCTAGGCAGCAGTTTGTGAGAAAAAGATTACAGTGGATGAGAAGCTGGATGTGAGTCAACAGTGTGCCCTTTTAGCGATGAAGGGTAATGACAAATTAGGATGTATTAGGAGGAGCATTTCCAGCAGATCTAGAGAAGTGATTATTCCCCTTTATTCGGTATCTGGAGTATTGTATACAATTCTGCCTCCTCCTCCCCTCCTGCCCCATTACAGAAAGGATGTGGACATACTGGAGAAAGTCCAGTGGAGGGCAACGAAAATGATTCGGGGGCCAGTGCACATTATTTGCAAGGAGAGATTGAGGGATTTGGGCTCATTTAGTCTATAGAAGAGAAGAGTGAGGGGGGATTTGACAGTAGCCTTTAACTACCTGAAGGGGGGTTCCAAAGAGAATGGAGAGAGGCTGTTCTCAGTAGTGACATATGACAAAATAAGGAGCAATGGTCTCAAGTTGCAGTGGGGAAGGTCTAGATTGGATATTAGGAAAAACTATTTCTCTAGAAGGGTGGTGAAGCACTGGAATGGGTTACCTAGGGAGGCATAGGAATCTCCATCCCTTGAGATTTTTAAGTCCCAGTTTGACAAAACACTGGCTGGGATGATTGAGTTGGGATTGGTCCTGCTTTAGGCAGAGAGTTGGATTCAATGACCTCCTGAGGTCTCTTCCAAACCTCTATTTCTATGATTCTATGATGATTTGGGAGCTTCCTGGAGGAGTCAGTCTTTATATATTCTCTTATGAAAGGTAGGTTAGTCTAAGGATGACTAAGGGTATGTCTACACTACAAAGTTAGTTCGAACTAACATCCGTTAGTTCGAACTAACTTTCATAGGCGCTACACTAGCGCTCCATTAGTTCGAATTTAATTCAAACTAACGGAGCGCTTAGTTCGAACTAGGTAATCCTCATTCCACGAGGATTAAGCCTAGTTCGAACTAGCTAGTTCGAATTAAGGGGTGTGTAGCCCCTTAATTCGAACTAGTGGGAGGCTAGCCCTCCCCAGCTTTCCCTGGTGGCCACTCTGGCCAACACCAGGGAAACTCGTCTGCCCCCCTCCCGGCCCCGGACCCCTTAAAGGGGCACGGGCTGGCTACGGTGCCCGTGCCAGGAGCAAGCCTGCCAGCACCCAGCCAGCAGACCCAGCACCCGGCACGGATTGAGCCACCCACCCGATGTCACC